GGTCCTGTGTTTCTAAAGAGCATGGGAAGATAACAGGTTAAGGACTCCCTCCCAGGCGTGGTGGTTTATCTAGGGATTGTGGGTGACACGCAGTCCTAACCAAGAGGCATATTTATAGTCACAGATTTGGAGCGTGAAGCCCCTTTGCTCAGACCTCAGAGCACAACGCAGGTGACGAAATGCCCAGTCTGCAGGGGCACAGCAGGTATTTTAGGTCAGGGACCTTTCAGTGCCTGGCAGTCACACCCCAGCGGCATTCACTTATCTACAAGGAGGCAAGCGGCAGGAAGGTGGCACTGAAGACAGCAGAGTGGGAAGGGAGCCTGGGAGGATGGAAACCGTCTGCCTGCCTTTGACATTTGTAACTGCGGTGAACTGAAGGTCAGAAATAGTCCACTCCATTAAGAAGTGGCTGCAGACCAAAGAGCTCACAAGATTTTCTACAGCTATCACCTCCCCTGACTCGGGGGGCTGAAAATATTGTATAAAGACAAGAATTTCCTATGTCTCAGCAACGTGTGAAGTGCAAGTGCAAGAGAAAAATCTATGGACAGAAGAATAAAAAGAAGTTTCTTAAAAGATTACGTAATAAGTACATGGCCACCCCAAAGTATCTCTAGGGATAGGACAGCTAAAGGACAAAGAGTGGGGACAGGCTGAATATTCATCTGACTTTGAGTTTGACATAGTGATTTAATAATAATGATAATAATAATAACAACAACAATATAGTTAGCATGTATATAGCACTTTGTGTACAGTCCTCATCATAGCAGATTCGGAAGACAAAAACACACAAAGAAAAATTCAGTAATTTGCCCCAAATCTCACTATTAGAAGCTATTATCTCTATATGTTGTGTGTAAGTGAAATTTGTGAGAAATTTTGCTGAGTTCGCTTAATAATTTTTTTTTTCTGGTAGTAGACTAAGGAAGTTTTATTTGCGTGGAATTAATTAACATTTTAAACTAATGTTTCCTGTGAGACATTGTCCCTGTTCCAAGATCACATGGACACTACTACCGGTGGGTACAGGTGGGGCCAGAAACTAATGTGAAACTATCTGTCTTTTGGTTTGTGGTCATAGCAACCATTTCCAGAAAGCCTGCTGTTTGCCTTTCTGCCTCTCGGAATCACGGTTTGCTCAGCTCCTTTGTTCCAGAAGAGCCACTCTATCCCCAGTGGCTACACACCAGGCTGGCCTCCAGCCACTGATTCCCGGTATTCTGTCAGGTTATTTCACACTGTTGTCTTTCACTGATGCCATTCTTCTGACCATTTGGCTTGGCCTTGACCTGGTTATCTCACCCTGCAGTGGTTATGACAACAGGCTGTTGTGACCTCCTCTCTACAAGGAAGCTGGAGGGTGGAGACCATGCGGCCATGCTCACCTTTGTATCCACCACCTTGCCCTGCACGTAGTAGGCGTTTAACAAATGCTTGGGGGATGAGCCCATGAACGAGAAACGGTGAGTACTGCCTCAGCTCTGGCCACGTTCCAGCGCTTTCTGGTTGCTGTCTCGCCCCATGGCTGAGTTGGCTCTAGGGTGATGACATGATAAAGAAACAGGATGTGACCCGTCTGGTAAGAGGAGGACCAAGACGGGGATGGGACGTTCTGGTCTCCTAGTCACTGCTCTGGAGATGTTAAATTTGGTCAGAAACGCCCCAAGCCAGAAATCTTCTTGATTTGATCTCCATATTTCAGCCTACCAGTGCTTCTCAGGCAGGTCTCGGCATCCTTGGTGACAGACTTTGCTTTGGTGCCACCCTCGGCCATGTGTCTGCCCAACAGCATTCTGAAAACAGGAAGTGCTCATGTTTATGGAATTGAATGAATTGATCCGGCATAACCGTAGCAGCCAGTAAGTCTGCAAAATCGTCAGTACTTTGACAACTGTGATAAGTGGCTTGAATCCATGTACACATCTTCTTACGTATGTGTTTGGGCAACATGGCCGTAAGCTGGAGCTTAGGTAAGCTGGGTTAGGCCTCCAGAGTGTGTGAGCATATTCATTGTCTGCTAATTTGGGAAGCTTTCTCAGATCTTCCTTTGTTATAGTCTTGACATAACTGATTTACAGATTTAATAAAAGGGTACCTATCACTGGGGATGGGGAACAATTAGCCAGGACCCGTCCCTCTGACATAAGCCTCCATGCGGCCCCGTCCTTAAGATCTTAGAGGGTAGCAACAGGACCCAGCTTATCTACTTCATAGGCTGTGGTCAAAACCAAAATAAAAACGATAGCGGCATTCGAAAGCTATGGAGTCTTTATAGAAAAGTAAGCTAGCATCATGACTAACAACACTGCTCACATTTATTTTTGGTTGATGTGCCACATAGATCAAGATTGCATTGTGTTCCCTCAGAGCCCAGCAAGCCTCCTCCAGGAGGGGCCAGGGACAGACAGCACACGCCAAAGCGTTCTCACAGCAGGATTACAACAGGGGCCCCGCCTCCGTGCCAGAGATTGGGGGGGAAACAGTATCGCTATTTGGGCAGAATGGGGCTGCCTTGCTAAGAAGTCTGGTGGCAGACATGCCACCAGGACCCAGTTCTGTGAGGTCGCCCTCCTTGGCAGGCTCCTCATGGGGTTCCTGGACCAGAATGTGAGGTGCTGTGGGCTGGCACAGCAGCCTCAGCAGCTGCTGAGGGCAAAGATGCTCTGGGAAGACGGGCCAGGTCACAGAAAGAAGAGCAGCCACTGCCCAGAGGTGGCGGGGACGAGGCCTGAGGACTCCACACTGAGAAAACAGAGCAGCCATTGTTTCTTCCTGGAGTCTGCAACTGCACGTAATGCACTGGCCACCCCGAGAGCTGTGACCAAATCCGAGATCAGCTGCAGATGTGAATAAAGAGCAGGACATAGTGCATTTTGTCCCCAGCAAGGAAGGTGACAGAAGCCCATCTTCCCTCCCCAAAGAGACTCCTATGAGAGAATCAAGGTCCGTGTGATAACGGGCAATTTCCAACCTCTCGCCTAATTCCGGAAGTAAATGAAGGGCTTTTCTGCACAGAGCAGAGGTGTACAGAGAGGCAGTTTCAGAGGGGACGTGGGCCCTCTCCGTGGCTGGAGGAAGGCGACGCCCTCAGGCAGAGGGCTCCATGGGCCAGAACCTGAGCAAGTTACCTCTACCACCTGAGCGTCAAGAAATGGCTTCTTTCTCCAGTGGGGTGTCCCTGGAGACAGGGGACTGTAACCTCAGGACTGCCCTCAGGACTCCTCATAGCGGTCTTGCTCTTGTGCCTAGAAAAAGCCAGTTTCTGGGCACTTTTTAGAGAAAGCCTGTTTGGTGTCAAACTAATCTCAACAGAGTGTGCCGAAGGCCTAAGAAAGGCAGACATAAAAGGGTAGGAATTAGGGTACAAAACTCAAAACTGTGGCCAGAGAGGCGGGCAGAGCCGCTGAAGGAGGGCAGGAATTTCATACATACCAAAGACTTGAAGTCAGAAACAGAAGAGTCAGGGCATGTTGCGAAGGTACCGCTGGAGCAGCAGGGCAGTGCGGGCTTGCCCCTCGGACCAGAGGCCCAGGCTCACCTCAGAGACCTCTAGGGCCCTGAGTGGATAAAAAAGGGGCTACGGGTGCCGGGAAGGGTCTCCCTTCTTTGCTCCTGGAAGCTTCAGGACCTGGTCTTGGCTCTTAGCTTGGCGTTCAAAGCCTTCCTGGCCTTTCCAGCCTCACCCGCTCCAAAACAGGCCGAGCCCCCCAGCTATGCGCCTTCTGGCCTGGAGTGCCTCCCACCCCTTGCACTTGAACATCCATCCTCCAAGGCCCAGCTCAGTCTGTCTCTGAGTGAGCCCCGGGCCTGCCAGGACCACTTCTTTCCATCAGCCCGAACCCCTGGCCGCGGCAGCTGTGGAGCCTCTCTTAGGTGTGCCTGCCAGTTGCCTGAGGGATTATTAAAATACAGGTAGCTGGGCCCCAATCTGGGTGATCTTGTCCCTGAGCTTCACAGGGGTCCTGTGTGCACCTTGGTGGGAGGCCCCCTGGTCCACACCCTCCTTGGGAGTTTTGCCTGTGAACTAGATACTAGTTTGGGGCATGGAATGCAAGTATGCAGGGACCACACTTCAATTTATTTCTCAGCAGCAGTCGGGTTTCTGTTTCAAGCGCCCCTTGCCGGGAGCGATGGGAACTTGTCAGTTTCGGGGATCCCCTCCTCACCTGCGGGCACACTCAGGCTGTGTAAGGTGATGACACAGGTGTTAATTCCTGGAGGGAGATGCAGACAAAGTTCCTCGAGCAAAGGCCAGTAGGAACTCTTGCTCTGACCTTGAAGGAACAAGGCCTCCCGGAGGTGGGAAGCGGCCGCGGCCATGGCAAGACAAAAATCCCAGTGGAAGGGTCATGAAGGGTTCACTCAATCTATTTAAAGCTGAAGTCTTCTCCTCAAACCTGCTTCCTCTCCTGACTTCTCACCTCCTCTTGTTGGGACTGTTCTTCAAAGTCCTAGAGTCACCTTTCCTCCTTTCTCCCCTTATTTCAGAAGAGTACTGAGTTGCCCAGCCCCTTCCTTTTACTGGTGAAGAGATGGTGGCAATTCCTGGCAAACCCAGAATTAGATCCCAAATCATGTCATAGACATGAAGTTCAGTCCTCTTGGCCCAAAGATGTCCTGTCCTTCACATAGTCAAGTGTCCTCATGCATTCTGTGGGCGCCTGGCTAAGCTCTCCTTCCCTCCTGCGTGGGTCACAGTGACACCAATCAATACAAATGTGTGACACTTTGCTCATGGCACCCATGGAATGCCTGCTGTCCTTCCCATCCCTCCTTCCATCCTACTCATCCTTCAAGGTCAGCTCAAATGCCACCTCTTCCACGAAGCGTAAAGGGCCAGCCATGAGCTCACCCCTGCAGCTGCATTCAGCACAGTCATCCACAGGGCTCCTGGGAAGTTCGGCTGCGTCGTCATGCTACGAAGTTTCAGTAACTTGATTATAAATTCCTAAGAGCAGAGCCTCGCCTTGCACAGTCACGGTTTGTGTAGCGGATGCCAACAGGGCAGACATCAGCAAAATGCTTAGAAACATCTGAGCCGTTGGCCCAAGTGAACTGGGGACAGAAACTGAGAAGGAAATACTTAATTTATGGGGTAATTTATGGGGTGAGCTCCCAGAGTGGCTAGAGGAGAGAGCAAGACCCAGAGGATCAGCCCAGCAGGCACTTCATTCCAGAGCAAGGGGACAGACTGTGCACACAGAGGACATGGCAGGCTGGAGGCTTGTGGAGACGCTGCAGGTGAGGCGGGAGGTAACCACAGGCTCAGGGTGGTCCGCCCACAGGTGCACAGACGCACCTGGACTCTGGCTGTCATCCCTGGCCCAGAGGGGTTTCTGGGGCTCTAAGGTGACCACGGCTCTCGCTGGGGCTGAGAAGTGTGTTGGTCCCTGCTCAGTGGCCTCACGTTCAGTCCGGGACTATGGCCCCCCAGCTTCCCTAGATGGCTCTGGTTGCCGCTCCATCTGACTTCCCTTCATGTCCTGTTCCCAGAGAGGCCCAACCAGTCCCTCAGTTCTGCGGGCTCCGGCGCTGGGAATCGCGGCGGCGGGCTTCCGCCTTGGGCATCCGGGAGCTCACTGTTCTCCAGTGTCTGGTACAACATGGGTGCTCAATTACATTGTTTAACGAAAGAATTGTCATTTTGGGGTCAGCTCCCTGAGGACGTTCAGTCCCCTGTGACGGAGAAGGGCCTGCTGCCACAGGACGGGTGGCCAGACCCAGGCATTGACTGTTCGGTGCGTGTGAGTAGGGGTGAGTATGCCCAGTCCCGCCGGCCGTTCTCTCATTTGACATCTTGTCCTCATCTCTGTGACTGGGTAACACCAACAGGTAGAGGGTAAGAGGATGTCACAGCCCTGAACTCCTGAGCGAGCACGAAGCCTCATGGTCTCCAAGGGCGGTTTAGAGTCATCATATCATTTGATGTGCCCCCAGAGCCCTGTAAAGTGGGGGTGGCCTGGTAGACCCCACTTTCATTTACCAGATGAGAACGACGAGGCAGGAAATGCCAAGCTTTGGAAGCAGAACTCAAGCCAGAACCCAGGCCATCCTGACCCGGGGCCTGGTACCTTCCGGAGGATGCTGGGGCTAGGAGAAGCATTGGCCAGCTCAGCCAAGCTTTTCAGGGGCCAGCATCTCAGCAGGAGGAGCTCACGCCTTCATCCAAGGTGACAGCAGCCTTTCTTTGAGCTGGGAGGGCTGGAAAGGTGCAGCTGCCCCCTTAGTTTACAGAGGAACCCATCGGGAGGTCGTGAGTTGCCCAGGTCCACAGTGTCCGACTGCCGAGCAGAGCTGTCCCCCAACTCCAGGTCGCAGATGCACCGCCCTGCGCTCGGATCCCAGCCTGCGGACCAGTCAGGACCTGCGCTTTTGTTCTCTGGATCCCATCTGGGGAGAGGCTGTGGGGCCCTTCTGTGAGTCACTTTGTTTTTATTGATAAGCAGCTATGGGCCGTGTTCCCAGGCTACCTGGGGTCACAGTCCAGCTCGCTGGCCAACCAGCCGTGTGAAAGGGGGATGTCACCATGCCACCGCCTTGGGGTTCTGTGGGGTTTAAATGAGATGATACACAGCGTTAACGGAACAGTGCCGGGCCTATTGTGAGTCCCCACAAATATTGCCCGGTATTATTATTTGATGGGCAGAAGACGGGCGGTATAATTCCACTTGGCTATGCAGGTATGAGAACCTGTGCTGACACCCCGGAGATGGCCCCAGGAGGAAGCTGTTGAAAGGTCTGAATTGTTCCACAGCAGGACAGCAGCTCTGTGGTTTAATTGACCTGCACAGAGACACCCTGGAACCTTCCGAGTGTGAACCAGGAGGCCCTGGCCTGCTCTGCACCCTGCCAGGGACCTGTCATCCACAGCTGACTCCACTCCCTGACTCGTGGCCTGAGATTACTGGGGATCTGAACACCCCAGGGAAGTGGGTCCCTGCCCACTGGCTGATCGCTGACAACAGGTGGGTCCTGAGGGCCAGGCCTTCATAAAAGCAGCTGAGAGAGTCGTTCAAATCTGAGCCAAGAGCTCCTAGTGGGGTTGGCAGGGTGCTGTGCTGAGGAGGCCCAGGCTTCTCTTCGGGAAGGTGAGGGCTCAGGAGAGCCTGGGAGACGGACAGAGGACAGTGGCTTCAGTGACCTGAGCAAAGGGCGTCTCCAGGGGGTCTGTTCCGGTCACTCTCCCAGAGCAGAGTACTAGGTGCTCGCTGGGCAGCCCAGCCTTCTGTGGGCTCAGGGCTAGGGGTGGCCCCCCTGCCTACACCAGCCTCTCTGGGATGAGTGAGGCCTGTGAGCGCAGGCTAGTGGTGAGGTGGGTCAAGTTACGGCCAGACCATCGGGCTCGTCACTGCCCCGGCCTGGCCACACCAAGACTTTTGCACCTGCCTCCCCACCCTCCCTGTTCTTCTCCAGCTTCAGTCTTTTACAATGAAGTGGATTTTTAAAAATAGGTAAAGCACGTGGCACTCAGAGAAAAGTGTCTCCCTCCTCCCT